AATGCCCGCGCACACATGCACATGCACGCACATGCCTGTGCACACACATGCACATACACGCCCACGCACACACGCGCACACACATGCCCGCGCAAACACATGCACGTGTACACATGCATGAGGACACACACATGCCTGCACACACGCACGCACGCGCACACACACACCCGCGCACACACACACACATGCCCACCTGCACACACACATGTCCGTGCACAGACAGATGCACACATGCTCACTATCACAATTTGTTACATCACACGGGGTTGGTGGTATCCATGTTTCCCTGTGGTGCTCCCTTCCTTGGAAATGGTCATCTGTCTGTTCTGCCGAGTCCTCGCTGTGGTCGCACTGCAGGTCCTTTTCTGTGGGTCAGGACAGACAGTGAGGACAACATCCTGGGACGGGATGCACAGTGCACTGGGGTGGGGGGTCTGTGTGCTCTGTGACCCCCTGTACACCCAGAGACAGTGTCTCATTCCTTCACGAGAACCCAGACCTGTCCTGCGTTGTGCTGTTTGGGGCGTGCATTGAAGGCGTGGTCCTGCGAGATAAGTATGTCTATTTCCATCTGTACCTTCTAGAAACCCTTGAAGAGGGTGTTTCCCGCCCCCAACTTTGGCTTCATGGTTGCGCCCCAGGACAGGACCGCCTTTTCCAGTTTAAGTCCCAACACAACCTTTCCTGTCCCCCTGGAGGCAAATCTGATGTTTCCTTGGCCCAATGTGTGCCCTTTAGAAGGTGCTGAGGGGCCCGTATGCAGTGGGCTGGTCGGCAGGGTGGGGTCTCTGTCCCGCACCCCTCCTCGCACCCGCCTCCTGGCTGCAGTCAGGACGGGGTCCCAGGGTCTCTGCTCTGAGAACCGGAGGCAGATGCGGACATACATCCGTGGGGCCCCCTGCCCAGTGGGTGGACACCAAGGCAGGGCACTGAGCTAACCATTCTGGTGGCCTCACTCTGCAAACAGACTGAGACCCCCTGTGGGCAAAGATGGCATGATGTGGGGTAGGGAGTGGTCAGGGGCACAAAGGGGACAGGAAGGTTCTAGAGAGTTCCAGAGGCTCTGTGTCCGACTGTTCACCCCTGTAAAGGGGTCACAAGGGCATGGGCACCAGTCTCCCCCCAGGCCCTATAAGGCTGGAAGTTTCCATGCAGTGCAGCCGGGCTGGCCTGTGCACTGCCTGGGACGGAGGGCTGGGGTGGCTGTGTAGCTGAGGCTAGGAGGAGCAGCCTGGCGGGTGTGGGGTGAGAGTAGGTGCCGATCCTGCTCGGCAGAGCCCTGGCGGCCTGACCCAACTCCCCTGTTCCCCCTGAGGAGCAGTGCCCACACAGCCCAGCCCAGTGCTTGGCCCTGCTGATTCTGCTCTCAGTAACCACCCGTCACCTGCCTGCAGGTTTGGCGAGGCCCTGCAGGGCAAACTGGTCATTGGCATGCTGGCCTGGCCATCCCCCTGGGTCATTGTCATCGGCTCCTTTTTCTCTACCTGCGGCGCCGGCCTGCAGAGCCTGACGGGGGCCCCGCGCCTGCTGCAGGCCATCGCCCGGGACGGCATCATCCCCTTCCTGCAGGTGGGTGCGGGCTGTGGGGCGGGGTTCAGGGAGGCCTAGGGTCAGAGCTCAGGAGATGGGTTCCTGAAGGTGGCCATGGGGTGGGGTCGGGGAGGGTGGCCCGGTTAGCAGCCTGGGAAAATAACAGCTAAGAGCCAAGCTGCCCCCTCTGCCCACCATAGACACGGTGACCCTTGACCTCTGGTGCTGGCTCTGGTTTGGAAAGCACCAGAAGCATCTTGGTGTGCTGTCAGCATGCAAACCCGGTGGGGCTAGGGCCGGGCCACAGAAAAAGGGGTCGGGGCGGTGAGCAAGGAAGGCGAGCAGCGTGACCTCAGAGAGCTGGGTGGTGAGCTCCTGCAGCCACCGTGCTTTGCGGTTGGAGAGGCCGAGGCAGAGGGTGGGTGGTGCCGGACTGCTCTCCCCCTGCACTGTGCGCCATTGTCACGCAGCCGTGGGGGTCTCGGCCTCGGGCTCCCTTGCAGCCCTGGCCGGGTGATGTGGCGTGTGCGGGGGCTGGGCCCGTCTCAGCGCTGGTAAAAGTCTCTCTCCAGCTCGTTTTCAGCAGCTGCTTTCTCTCTTACCTGGAGTTGTTAAGATGTCTTGGGGGTGACTGTGACTGGCTGTTGGCCCCCCATCCTCGTTGCGGGGTGCGTCCCCTGTGCTCTCGGGGCTGGCCCTGGCCCACACCACCTCACCCGGCCTTCTGCAGGTGTTCGGCCACGGGAAGGCCAACGGCGAACCCACCTGGGCCCTGCTGCTGACGGCCCTCATCTGCGAGATTGGGATCCTCATTGCGTCCCTGGACAGTGTGGCGCCCATCCTGTCCATGTGAGCTCTGGGTCGGGGGTGAGGGTCGGGGGGCAAGGGGGCTGGTGTACAGTCCCTGGGGATGGCCGGGAGGGGAAGGCAGCCAGGGCTTGGGGGGGGGGCAGCACCGCCCAGCATATCCGGGACCCCCGCTCTGCTCATGCCCACCGTGCCCCCAGGTTCTTCCTCATGTGCTACATGTTCGTGAACCTGGCCTGTGCCGTGCAGACCCTGCTGCGCACCCCCAACTGGCGCCCACGCTTCAAGTACTACCACTGGTACGGCTGCCGTGGGCATGGACATAGCTCAGGGTGGACAGCGCAGGGCGGGCACAACGCCGGTGGACACAGCCCAGGGC